GTATAAAATTAATTATTGGAATATTATTATAATGGTAACTTTATTTATGAATACCACATTCTCTAAGGTTTTCTGTCTTGGCGTAGCATAACAGAATATACTTATCTCCAACAACCAGATGATTATATTGTACCATCAGTCAAAAACAAAAATCTAAATTAGATGAACAGATTAGTTATTTTTATTCAGGATACTACTCATGCCTTAACATTCCATAAATGGATATATATATTATCCCTACCAGATGATAAAGTACTTTCTCGCTATAGACAGCACCACTATATCCATCTAATTTTGCTATTAGTTATGAAGTTTTGATATCGCATAGACGTCTCGACTTTTTCTCACTTACCCTCTCCTCTGATCCTTTTGAAATTAGCTTTTGTCAAGATTCCAAATAGATTTGTATTAATTCTCATTATTATTAAAGAGACTCCTAATCAGGTTAGAATATTTTGATTATCATAAGAATTAACTTATTGAAATGGGTATGATAAAATCTTTGAATGCTTATTCTGGATTCAAGGAAATCGCATTGTTAAAATATATATGGCGCTTTATTCTTTATTCCCAATTACATCATATAAGATTTCTACATATATATATATATGCTGTTACCTCGATTAATAAAGGTGAAACCATTCTTTGGGTCCAATCCAATCAGTGTTTTATTTAAAACAACAATTGGATAAAAAAGTATAGTTTCTTTCTATATAAGTTTTTCATAACTGCTGTTATGATAAATTTTAGGATCTCTAGGATGTAATTTAACGGTTTTTCATATTCTAAGAATGCCTATTTTTAATATCTCATCTCATAATCTATCACTCTTCTTCATCAAATTATTTATTAAAATTTGTTATAGTAAAATATTGAGTCCATAAATTTTTATTATTTAATTACATTAAAGCACCTCAATTATTAAGCCTAAATGCTATTATTCAACTAAGATCTATTATTCATATTACTCAAATAAAATTGACTCAAAGCATAAGCAAATATTCTAGCCTTATTATAATTGATTACCAGGATTAAGATTAAATTTATCTATATAAATATCGTATTCTTAAACATACTCTAAATGTAATATTATTCAAAGTATATATTTAGTAATTCATTGATTTAATTTATCTATCATAAATTCTCTTAATCTATTACAAATTGTATTATTTTCTTAACTGTTTTACAGGATTTTCATCAATTAATTCAGTATTATTCAAGTATTATAATTTTGAGCAATATATACTGATGTATTCAATATATTAACCATTAATCTCTTTAAAATATGAATTGTTAATCAAAGAAAGGATCTTATAAACTTTAATAACAAAAATAGATAGTATTAATTATAACACTTTTTTGCTTGATAAAGAAGTATGTATCTTAAGATTTTTTATTTTTATTATGTCAGATTTAAAATTGTTCAAATAATCTTTGAGATTAAGCATATCAATTTCAAACTTTTAAGAATGTCATCACACTTGCCTATGTTGTTCTTCATTTTCTTTTCAACCTTATATTATGCTCTTTTTTACAATATTTACATTTCCAATTTTAAATTGTCACACTCATACATCTGTGCTAAATCAGAAATGATTCACTACCTTTAATTGTTGAGTAGTTTTCCGCCCCATATCTATTTATTATGGGATTCAAGTAATCAATATATTCTTTTGTTATTTAGAATTGTAATTTATATTCAGGTAATTTCATAACTTATAACATAGTCTATTTAAAAAAACGAACAATCAAAGTCATTATAAATAATAATCTAGTTTATAATTAACTATCAACAACTGGATAATAGGCTTATTTGTAGAAGAATTATAAAAAATATATATTAAATTCTATTATAATATACTTAAACTATGAATCATATGCCCAAGTATATAGTTATAGATCGAAAAATCTATCAAAAATCATTAATTACTTAATAGTTAAGGTCCAACTATTAATAATATTTTAAATTTGATTTTGAATCAAAATGAACAATTCTAATTAAAATAATACCATTAAATACATAATAATGAAATTGAGTTTTTAAGCAAATTAAAAGAGTATAAAATGAAATAAATTTAAAAATTAATTAAAATAATTGTTATTTTTTTATGAAAACCTAATAAAATTATAATATTTCAATATTAAACTTTTATCTATGGATGATGCTAATGAAAAAGCAAATAATCATTAATTAAGCAATTATGCTTGATTAATTATTATTACAAAAGATATTTTTCTAGCAATCAATGTATATCTATTAGTCAAGTAATTTTAGATGAAGGTGTATTTTATTATTATTTTTAATTATTTGTCTAAGTATAAGAACTTTAAAAAAGAAACATCAGAATTGTAGTTTACCATTTTAAAGTTATATAAATATATTAATTTCAATATATAGCATTTTATAAATTAAAGAGTTATAAATATAAACTTAAGATATATGAGTATTATTTAAGAATTTAGAGAATGCTATAATTAGGCTTTACAAAAACAATACAAAAGATAGTGTATCATTCGATTAATAATGATAAGTTAGGTGATATATTATAGTAAATTAATTAAGCTATTTTAATATAAGCTATTGAATGCTTAATAAAATTGTGTCCTGATGATATTGAAGCTTTCATTGTAAAAAGTAAACTTTCTATTTAATTAATAAAGGTAAAGCTTTATAAAGTCACTCAAGATTTATTATTTAAATGCTTTAACAAGATTTTAGAAGCCATAGAATTTTAAGATGAAATAATTAAAATATCTCCATGAAACACTATTATAATAAAGGTAAAAACAAGTGGTCTAAAGAGGAGATGATTAAGAAAAAATTTTAGATTTTTTGAATATGTCAATTAAAAAGACTAGATGAATCAAAAGGATACTTTAATAAGGTTTAAGTATTCACCCAAATTTAGATTTAATTGAAGCTTATTATAAAAAAGGTTTATGATAAATTATTACTTCAGGAAACACACTACGTTCATTAAATAGATATAAAAAACTATTAAATTTTATGATTAACTTTTCCTGATTTATCCAAAACATAGGCTAATGCTTTACAGTAAAGGTATTTACTCATTATTCCAATAAGCTTATGCTCTTTTAGATTTAAATGACAATTATTTTGATGACCAAAATGAATCGATATTTCAAAGCAATATAGTACTATGAAAAATAAATTCAAGTTAAATCCTAAAATAATACCATAAAGAAAAGTTACTTAGAAATACAAATCCCGAGATGATCAGATTCTTGAATAACTGATTTCTGTTGCTATTAGTTCAAATCTATGAAAGACAATATAAAATGAGTATTGTTAAACTTTTACTTTTCTGGAATTGTAAATCTTATTCTGTATCCAATATTTCAATAACAAATACCTTTTGCAATTATATATAATTATGAACTTAGAGTTACAACTACTTAGATTAAAATAGTCCACATTTGATTTAAAAATAAAGTTCATTTATATTAATCGATTACTGATTAGAAAGGATATACCATATAAATTATAATAACAATATAAATTAACTAAATCATATATATAAATTAATACATTAAAATCAAGAATTCTTAATTGAAATTATTTGATATGCTATTCATATTCTTAATAAGAATAGATTATATTTCTTTGATTTTTATAATAATTTATAAATTGATTGGATGAAGTAAAAAAATTGATTCTTTTTTCTATTGTTGTATAATTGATATCTCTCAAGAGGGTAAATTTTATAATTATTTAATTTGAAAGTTGTTAAATTAATAATTGCTATAATTCTTTTCCACCAATACTCTAGAATAAACTATTTATATCTTTTCATTATTGAATAAATTGATTGGGTGAGATTCATTCATTCATTTGATAATAAATTTTATTTTTGAATATATTCTGTTTTCTAAATGATTGTAATAATATCTTAAAGATCATTCTAATATTTGTACTTTATTACCACTTCCATAAGCATAACACACCCATAAACATGGATATAAATCATATGTTGTATCTATTTAAAGACTCTATTATGTAATAGTATTATTATAATTACAAATGATTGATTTGTATTTGCTTTGATCCATTTTATATTTTTATTTTAAATGTCAACTTCAACTATTATTATATCATTAATT